CCTTATGGACTAGACAAATACTGCCTTATGGCATAGACAAATACTGCCTTATGGACCAGACAAATACTGCTTTGTGGACTAGACAAATACTGCCTTGTGGACCAGACACATACTTATTTGTGAACCATACAAATACTGCCTTGTGGACCAGACAATTCCTTGTGGACCAGACAATACCTTGTGGACCAGGCAAAACGGTATAAAAAGTGAACATTTTTTACCTGATATATTGAATTAGCAACCTATAGCACATCTCTACAACAATATTTCTACACTAAACATAGCATTCATTCGCTTAATTGTAAGACATTCAATTTCTATTGTTTAAAATATAACTGTTCTTTTGTTAGGACCCTGTAATGAAATAACATGTGTGTTAAGATTTGAAATTTTATAGTTTGTTTCTCTTTTAATTTTATTTTATTTTTATATGATTAAATATAATTATTACTATGACGATGGTTCGCAGGGTCTGATATTTTGTTAGAAACATCGTATTTATTTAAAACGTAAATGTGACTAGCGTTAACACGATTTTTGCATGATAGTTTTGTCATATCATGTAAATAGCCATAAAGAGCTATGCAAATAATTGGCTGTAACCTAGATCATTTCCAATTATACTTGTTTACGCATTTGTAATGCATGGTGTGATTTCAAAATCGTCACGTATCATTCGTGTTTGTGTACATGAAATGACGTTTATGTTTGCTCTAAATACTCAGTTACCTGTTAGAAATTATCAGTCATAGTTGAGTCATATTTTAACATCATCGAGAGTCACATCAAAACATCTTATAGAGTTTCTAATACCTTAAGGAAAATGTATTCGGTTCCGGAAAAAGTTGTTCGTTTGTACGTTTGAAGAACATGTATTTTGTTATTGGTGATAGCTGTACTTCATCTACCTATTAAAGAATAACTATTTGTCCTGGAGAACTACACAACTGTTTTTGGACAAAGACATTTGCTGAAATTATTTCTAAATTAGAACAGAACAATGCAATTTGTGATTTGATTAACAGTGAAAGTTCTTAACATCGGTGTGAGCCTTCGTCTGACGTCATCATCTGCCATCCTTGAATGGGATTGAAATTCAGACTACGTCAATTTAGGACTGTTTATTTACAGGACTTATATATTTTTCACAATTTTAGGACAAATATTTGGATCTTCTTAATAAATCGCAAGTCTTGTTTCATACTTTTACCTTTACACCGTATTTTCTAGGGAAATAAAATATTTTTGTTAAAAATTACAAAGCTTGCTGTAGTCACTCTTTGTGTTACTTTAAACGAGCCGATACGTAACGCTTTATGGATTCTATAATAATCTTTTTGTGATGACGCTGACAGCCGGGTGGTCTAAAGGGCTCGTTTTGCAAATATCTCACCTCTCTCTGCGTGGGTTATATTATCAGTGACGGCCAACGTGGGTGTTTGAGAAAACTTGCAAGTCGGTGGTTCTTTCCGGGGTTCCCGGATTCATCCTCCACCAGAACTATTGGCAAACATGTGTGGTCTATCAAGTGCTAAAAAGGACGTTAAACGCCCAGAAAAAGTTAAGCCTAGCTGTTAATTTTGAATTGTTCAAGATTGACAATTTAAAAAAATTAATACCAGATCGTGAATTTTCAAAATGAATTTATTCAGATGAAAAGTAAAAGTAGATATGAAACGTATGCCTTCATTATTTCTTGCTGTTTTAACAGTCATGATATCGAGGATATCCGAATATATATCAAACGTTTATCCAATCAAAATTTTGAAAAAAATACACCTGATTTCCTGATAATGACATTTTCCTCTGCATCTCTGAAAATTATTCCATTTTATACAATTTGTCTCTGTGCCATTGAGTCTAATAAAAACAAAGTAATGTTGTACACATCAAAATGTATAATAAAGTCTAGAATAGCAATGACAATAATACACAAATTTATACTAAAGTCTAGCGTATCAATGTCAATGCTACAAAATGTACACTAAAGTCTAGCATATCAAAGTCAATAATACACAAATGTATACTAAAGTCTAGCGTATCAATGTAATCCTACAAAATGTATACTAAAGTCTAGCATATCAATGTCAATCATACAAAATATATACTAAAGTCAATCATATCAATGTCAATCATACAAAATGTATACTAAAGTCTAGCATATCAATGTCAATCCTACAAAATGTATACTAAAGTCTAGCGTATCAATGTCAATCATACAAAATGTATACAACAGTCTAGCATATCAGTGTCAATCTAGCTAAATGTATACTAAAGTTAAGCATATCAATGTCAATCCTACAAAATGTATACTAAAGTCTAGCATATCAATGTCAATCGTACAAAATGTGTACTAAAGTCTAGCGTATCAATGTCAATCATACAAAATGTATACTCAAGTCTAGCATATCAGTGTCAATCTAGCTAAATGTATACTAAAGTTAAGCATATCAATGTAAATCCTACAAAATATATACTAAAGTATAGCATATCAATGTCAATCTTACAAAATGTGTACTAAAGTCTAGCATATCAATGTCAATCCTACAAAATGTATACTAAAGTCTTGCATATCAATTTCATTACAAAATGTATTCTAAGGTCTAGCATGTCAATATCGATCATACTAATTGTATACTAACGTTTAGCATATCAATGTCAATCCTACGAAATGTGTACTAAAGTCTAGCATATCAATGTCAATCATACAAATGTTTACTAAAGTCTACCATATCAATGTCAATCCTACAAAATGTGTATTAAAGTCTAGCATATCAATGTCAATCCTACAAAATGTGTACTAATGTCTAACATATCAATGTCAATCGTACAAAATATATACTAAAGTCTAGCATATCAATGTGAATCCTACAAAATGTATACTAAAGTCTGGCATATCAATGTCAATCCTACAAAATGTGTACTAAAGTCTAGCATACCAATGTCAATCATACAAAATGTGTACTAAGGTCTAGCATATCAATGTCAATCATACAAAATGTGTACTAAAGTCTAGCATATCAATGTCAATCATACAAAATGTATACTAAAGTCTAGCATATCAATGTCAATCCTACAAAATGTGTACTAAAGTCTAGCATATCAATGTCAATCTTACAAAATATGTACTAATGTCTAACATATCAATGTCAATCGTACAAAATGTATACTAAAGTTTAGCATATCAATGTGAATCCTACAAAATGTATACTAAAGTCTAGCATGTCAATGTCAATCCTACAAAATGTGCACTAAAGTCTAGCATATCAATGTCAATACTACTAAATGTGTACTAAAGTCTAGCATATCAATGTCAATCCTACAAAATGTGTACTAAGGTCTAGCATATCAATGTCAATACTACTAAATGTATACTAAAGTCAAGCATATCAATGTCAATCCTACAAAATGTGTACTAAAGTCTAGCAAATTGGGGAAAACTTTGATTTTATCTACGTGTCTGCATGTGAGTGCATAAAGCAGAAGCTTGTACTGTAGTCGAGAGATTTTTAAATGTATTTTTGCTTTTAAAATTCGAGTGGTGTGGAACATTCTATAATAAGGATATCATATTTCTTAAAACAAAAGTGTCTGTCCGGCTCACACAGTCTTAAGCTGCTTTAAAGTGGTCAAGTGATCCAGTACTGGACTTCTATGCTATCTTTGAGGATGTTCTGCAATTTTATCACAGGTTGACTTAACGAAACTACATCTAGGTTGGTAGAATGTGGCTTTGGGTAGTTTGATGCTTTGTTTGACATGAATAACTTAATTGTTTTACAAATCATAAGTCGATTTATTAGAATCTGGTCCAATTGAGATATAGGTATGATTGTTTACGTACCTTTTGGATTCTGAATCAAATCAAATACTGTACGTACTCACTTATAAGTCAAACTGCAAACAAGAGAGATCATAATATTTTAGAACAAATTGCGTCTACAGATTAGGTTTTATTTGTTTGTTCCACTGAGTATTCTTCAGACCTGCCGGATTAATATGCAGCTGGACTCTGCTTAAAAGCGTGTATATACTGTAATCATTTCAATCATACAAATAGAACGTATGCACTACAATAATTCTGCTTAAAAGCGTGTATATACTGTAATCATTCCAATCATACAAATAGGACGTATGCACTACAATAATTCTGCTTACAAGCGTGTATATACTGTAATTATTCCAATCATACAAATAGGACGTATGCACTACAATAATTCTGCTTACAAGGGTGTATATACTGTAATTATTCCAATCAGACGAATAGGACGTATGCATTACAATAATTCTGCTTACAAGTGCGTATATACTGTAATCATTCCAATCATACAAATAGGACGTATGCACTACAATAATTCTGCTTACAAGTGTGTATATACTGTAATCTTTCCAATCTTACAAATAGGACGTATGCACTACAATAATTCTGCTTACAAGCGTGTATATACTGTAATCTTTCCGATCATACAAATAGGACGCGTGCACTACAATAATCATTTTTGATGTAAACAAGATCTTTATAAAAAAAAGCCAATGACTAACGAAATTTTCATTCTTGTCGGACTATAGACCTGAACAGTAGAATGTGTGTAACAAACCTTTCTAGTCCAAATAGTCGGTGTACAAACCTGGGTTTTAAATAGCTTGCACTGCGGGATCCACCAAGTTCCATGTTCTTCTTTGTCACCGTCATCATTAGCAGAGCCTGATAAGTGGCAAATATCTAACCCTCATTCTTCATACAATGTTGTGTGTGTGTGTGTGTGTGTGTGTGTGTGTGTGTGTGTGATTTAGATTTTTAACGTAGATTTTTAAAAAAATGTCAGTCGTATTGCTACAATGTCTGCATTGTGACAGTTTATAGTGATTTCTAGCACTGGGGCATCATGTCCCACCCAATCAAATTATCCTGAAACCAGGCCAACCAGTCCTAACACTAACCTCTTCATGCTGAGCGCCAAGCGTGGCAGCTATTCGTACCATTTTTTAAAGTCTTTGGTATGACTGGGCTGGGGTTCGAACCCGCGACCTCCCGCATCCGAGGCGGACGCTCTAACGACTATGCCACCGGAGCGGTTCATACAAGGTTAAATATTGGCGAAAAATTGTGTAACATTTGTCAAGTGTAACTTTTACAGTAGAAATGTTTGCGATTTTTTTACGATTAATATGGAATAACACTATCTGATTTGTACCCTTCATATAAATTTAGGCTTGACAAGAGGCACATTTAGAATTTAAATTTGATATAGTTGCACGGTATGGCTTCTGTAGGATTATAATAAGTGACATTCATAACAAAAAGCTAGTTTTTCGGGGAATTCTTTGAAAGTCGTATATGTCAAAACATGAAGGAAATAATTGGAAACGTAACATAAACATGTCACTTTCTAATCGAATTAATTCACCATCAAATAAAGTTTCATCGAATATCCTAAGTGTGCACAGTTTATGGGTTAATAAAACTCAATTTCCTTTATAAAATGACACGAGTTCAATTTTTTGATGAATAAATTTAAGTCCATGTTAATGTGAAGGTAAACCAATTTAATTGTGGGAGTAAAAATAAATGTTCGTCCTAATTTCAGAAGTTTTGAAAAATATTCTTGAAAATTTATTTAGAAATGTAAAAATGAGGTACATTTTATATGACATTTTATATGGTACAGCATAGTCATGTACAGATGCTATTTATTCATTTTTGCAATCCAAGAGATTTTTGTTTAAGCATCAAATTTCGTTTAAAAATTCGTTGTCATGTGGCAACGTGTGCTAGCATCCAGGGAAATGTGACAACGTGAGCGAGCATTAGATGACATGTAACAACGTGTGCGAGTATCCAGGGACATGTGATAATGTGTACAAGCATCCAGAGACAGTCACAATGTGTGCGAGCATCCAGGGACATGTGACAACGTTTGCGACCATACAGGGAGATGTGACAACGTTTGCAACCATACACGTACATGTCAATGTGTGCGAACATCCAGGGACATATCAATGTGTGCGAGTACCCAGGGACATGTCACAACGTGTGCAAGCATCCAAGGTTGTATAAGGCTGCTGAAAAAATATAATTGCAAGACAGTTAATGTCAAACTTTCCATGCAAGGCCATATATTCTTGAACAAAACCTGCACAACCAGATAAGACTTCAAGCAAATAACTGAATATTATTTAAATTCATCCGAATAATATATATATATATATATATATATATATATATATATATATATATATATATATATATATATATATATATATATATATATATATATATATATATATATATATATATATATATATAGATATATATCTATAGATATAGATAAAGTGTGTCTCTATCAGTGATCTGTAACAGAGAAAGAAAGAGGGCGAGAGAAAGAGTTTTCAAAGTAATTTTGTACTTAGTTTTGAATACATCTAATACGACTTTCAGCATGTGAGAATTTGGTTTTATGCAGGAGAATATATACAATAATACATTAAAAAGTGTAGATTTTCCGAAAACAAAATATAGGCCTGCTAGAATTCCAATAGTAAGTTTGAATTTTTGTATAACGTGCAACAAATGAAATTTGCTTAAAGAAAATCAAGCCTCGTACACCTTCATTTTCATTATATCACTTTCCAGCATAAGTTCATATTTCTAGCAATAAATAATCGACGAGACAATTAAAGCTGACGTGACTCCATACGTAAGGTCTATGTCGAAATAGATTACTAATGAAGGCGATCATTAGGCCTACAAATGAGCCATTTTGCATTTAAATCTCTGCTATTGTTTCCTTTATTGAAGTCTTTCGAAATGCTTTGTCATTCTAAATGAACAATATAAGCACATTAAAACACGATAGAAATACTCCAAGATCATTTTAATGTTTTCATATATGCTATATGGCTTATATTTCTGGATATTATGATATCTTAATAAAATTAGGTGACTAATGAAATGTCAATTTGATGTAAGAAGACATTAGGGTGAACGTTAATTCATAAAATATGTCGATAAATATAGGGCAGTCATCTGTAACCTTTTAGGACTGCTTTCACAGATCCTCTGAGTTTTAGAGTGATGCGTGCCGAGTCATATTTGTCCTTTTAATTTAATCATCGCTTTAAATGCATGCAATACGAAAGTAGTCCAAATGATTTGGCGTAGTACCATTGAAAGGCGTGCCATAAGATGCCGACACTTAATATAGGTACTCTACAAAACCACTCCCAGACCATTTCTACTTGTGCTGGTAATATTTATATTACTTAGTTTGCTAGATATTGCCCAGCATGAATTTTAAAAGCAAATCGTTCTAATTTGCCCACGAAATATTAGCTCAACCTTGCGTCGTTCACTTCATGATTTTTATACATTAAATGTTTAGAACAATCTCTTTCTGTGTATCATCGCATGAACCAATTGATATCCACCCACTCGTTAAATTTCATAAAAGGACGTCAGATGTTCATAATTTACAATATGTCACTTCCCAAGTTTTTGCTGGTAAATACATAATAATTCATTGATTTAGTATTAATTTTCATGTTTCGTCAAATATGGCATTGTGGTCGGTATTTAAATACGTGGAGAGAACAGTGGCTCCTATTTTATCCAAGATTAGAGCCATTCTTCTTTGCATCTTACATTTTGTGGTTTATAACAACAACAACATTCATGAAAATTGGTACAATACAAAATTAATGAGTTTATAGTAAATGCCGTTATACACATCGTGAACAGGGCGGATTAAGGCTGGGGGGGTCCCTGGGCACAATCTTGCGAAGAAGGGATGTGTTTAATTATCATAGCTATATTAGACTAACTATTAGACGGTTTAAAATGAAATTTTTAACCACGTGTAAGTTTAACAACGGCATCCTCCGGTAAGGTAGAATTACTTCTGGGAGTGGGGGAGCCAAAGTACATGACCCATGTGTCACCAACTTAAGTCGACCCTGATCGGAAACAGTTTGATACGCAAAGTGAAAAAAAAAATCACGATAAAAATATTACAGAGAAAAGCACATATAATCAAATGATAATGTATTTGTATGCATGGTCCTCAAAACGAACTTAAAATATGAATGATGATAAAGTAGATCCAGTTTGTTACAGCTAAAGATGGTTTAAAAATATTCATACCAATCCTGAATTGTTGGCATGATTACTTCGTGATTCTTTAGGTGCTGACATTTTCTGCCAATACAAATTTTGTCCAAAGTAGAACCATTGCTTTATAAACAAATAATGTTGGCACAGGAAATTACTGTCATCATTCTAGTTTACAGGAAGTTCATGCTGTATATTGCTGCGTGTCTCTCCCTTAATTTTAATAATGTTTTCTTGAAGTCAAAATAAAATAATCTAAGAAGTAATTGTTTCATTATTTCTGTTGCAGTGTATCAAATTTTGCTCTCCCCCTCTAACTACTATATGAAATTGTCTCCCCCTCTAACTACTATATGAAATTGTCTCCCCCTCTAACTACTATATGAAATTGTCTCCCCCTCTAACTACTATATGAAATCGTTTATAAAATTTTCTTTTTTATGAAAGCTAAAAAATTATATCTGTAATGAAATTAGATGGCATGCACCAGTTAAGAGAAGGAGAGAAATTTCATCACACGATCAGAATAATTTCAACTACTTGAATCTGTGCAGTAATAAATCAGTATCTTACACAATGAAGCGATTAATCTCGATATTCTAAGAACAAAGTCAGAAAGATAAAACGTATTCATCAAAGATTAATTGAACATCAACTAATCTAATCTTTACAATACCATTAAAAGTCAACCATAAATCTTTTTCCAGTACAATGCATACATACATACATACATACATACATACATACATACATACATACATACATACATACATACATACATGCATGCATGCATGCATGCATGCATGCATGCATGCATGCATGCATGCATACAGACAGACAGACAGACAGACAGACAGACAGACAGACAGACAGACAGACAGACAGACAGACAGGCAGGCAGGCAGGCAGGCATACATACATACATACATACATACATACATACATACATACATACATACATACATACATACATACATACATACATACATACATACATACATACATACATACATACATACATACATACATATATATACATGGATAGTTAATAACTGAGGATACGAGTATGGACTTACATGAATAATGCCATTTTTAAAATTATGTCTACATGTTTTTTACATTGGAAATACTGTTGTTTAAGTTAAAATAAGTAGTTTTCTTATATCTGAGTTCAAGGTCTAGTTTTAAAATCTTTTGGAAACGAACTTCTGACCACAATCGTGTTTTTTTATTATGCTTTTAGTTGTGTCTAAGATTCTGATAAAAAGACATTATTCATTCCTCCTTTAAGTTTGGTCTATAAATATATTTAATGTTGGGTTCAGGTAAAATTTGAGAGGAATCATTTTTTTGAAAAATATTAATTGAAACTATGAAGTGCTCAATTACATTTTTTGACTAAATTACTATTTGGGGATTATTTTTAATTCATTCTGGATTGTGTCATTGTGACACATGATGACTGTTGGTATAGCAGCACATTCAATACTGGACTTTTTCGCTCAGAAAACTATACTTTTGGCTGTATCTTTAACTCTTCAGTCATATTCACTAAAAAATATAGAGAAAGCTAGACTGAAGCTTTCGTCTTGAAGTTGAGGACTTCATCAGCAGAGTGATTTAATCTCTGTAAACATCGTTATTTGGAATGGTGAATGATGTTAGCAGATTGTCCCAGATATGCATTGTACCTGCACCCGTTCATATTGAGCGTCGGTTTGTGCGCATGGATGCAGGTCGATTCTTTAACCCGCGCTCAAACTAGGCTTGTTTTTGATCTAGGTTTTTACCAAGTACTAAGTTACATTATGGCCAGGGAAGACATCGTGGATGTGCCGTAATACTTCAGACGAGCTTAAACTTGGTCTTGTATGTTAATTAAATCTCGCTTTCAATGTCCTTTCCGTTTTCCCAATATAGTCGCGATGGCACTGAACTTCACCCTGTTCTTCACACATAATGTGA